ATACAGAGACACCGTGCGCAAAACAGTTACACCGAAAACTTTGCTATTGTCTGGTTCTATCTGTCTGTTTTTCGCGATCATCCCCTGTCGCGATAACTTCGCAATTCCCATGGCTTTTCGGAAAGCTGTACAGACTCTTCGCGAACTAGCTCGCAGCATTCGAAAATGGAATATTTGAAAGATAATCGAAGTTCGAGAGAATGTTCTGTTTACTTTTTTATAATCGATGGCGAATAATTTTGGTTTCAATGAATAATTGGATAGTTTGTTTTGTTCGTTTGAAATAGGGACCAATATTCTGGTTTCCATTTAATTACATTGAGGTTTTTATGGTATTGTGTTGATTGTTTACTATGTTTATGACTGAATAAAATTTTTGTCTTGCTTTCTTAGTTAGGTAGCATAATTTATCTTGTATATAGAACGTAAAAGGTATTATATCACTTGTGTTTATTGAATTAGATCAAATGTTTCATGGCACAGTCGATTTCAATTGTTTTCGTAGCGTTATTCTGACACCGTTCCAAATGAGATTAGCCAGAGTTAGTACTCGAAAAATTGACAAGAAACGCTTCAGTATTTCATCCGTGTAATATAATGGTCAGCACGGTGAATTTTAATGGTGAACGGTAGGAGAAGTTGAAGCATACTTTACGATATTTGCAGTAAACTTTTTAGTATTTCTTTTATAGGCAGGAACGTTCCACGGGTGGAATGAATATTGCGATACTGAATTCAAATCGTCCCTATTCCTATGCTTCGATAATAAAAATGTTACATTTATCTTCCACTTACGCCGCGTATAAACTATGTAGAACACAGTGCCGTAAAGCTTTAATAAAGATTAATAAAGTTTTTCCTGTATGGCGAACCTCGTAAAACCCTTAACAGTGGCCATGAATCTCCATTTAAGTCCCCTTTATGTAAATTACGTCGAAAAATATCAATTTGCATAAATACACACACCCTCCCCCGGTTGAACAAAGTATAATAAATAACCCGAGCAACCTTATATATTATACAATTCGCGAACGCCTCTGATAAACTGCACAATTTATTTCCTACGGTATCTCTTTCATTCGTATAATCACGTCGCATAAAATTAAGTTACCGTCCGTCCTGCTGCACTTCTCAAACATGCCACCTTGTAAATAATCCTTAATAGAATACGTGACTTTTTTCTACAAGATGGCGCCACCTTCAGCGGATCAAAGATACCAACCCCCACCGGGGAAAGTTTTCAAACAAGTAATTATTTGAAGGTAACGGAGAACGGGGCTGGATTCTCGGGGAATTGCATTTTACGAGGGTAGTTTCTAGATGGTTTTCCACGTCCTTCGGAATCTCCTGTTTTACGCTGGAAATATTGGCCGAGTTTCTTTCCACGCCGGAGAAAGGGGGAGTGAACAATAATTCTGACGAGCTCATAATACAGAAATTGCTACTTTTATGGCATGAAAGGAACAAAAAAAAAGAGAAAAACGTCCGGTTACCGTCTTCTATTTCTGTTCAGGGAAGTTTAAGCACAGCTCGGCAACTTCCACAGACTCCTCCCCGCCGCCCCGCCCCACCCCCGAGTCGCCGGGCCACTTTAACTTTTTCCACTTCCGTTCCGAGCGACGATAAACATTTATCTTCTTCGAAAATTCGCGGAACGTGCACGCTTTAGATTGGCCGGCCGCGGAACTTCTATTCGGGAAGTTTGAAGACGGCGCTCGATGCAAATTTTTATTGCGACTCGATTGCCCTCCGTCGAACGGGATTATTTCCGAACTACCCTGAACGTCTGTTCGAATCTTTGTGTTTCGAGTATTCTAACCGAGTGGAAGATAAGCCAATTGTTTTCTATATTCGACTGTACGAAATAGAGGAGAAACAGTGTTACGAAACTATTTATACAGAGACCTCGTTTAACATTTTGGCATTCAGGTTTGAAACTATTCAAACGCCTTGGTTACTTTGATATTTAAATTACTCATATTTCTCTGGATGGGATCATAAGATTTTTCGTCGATACAGTTCCCATTAACGGAAACATTCATCCCGGTGTTGTTCAATTCGAAAGTATTTAATGTACATTGCGATCGAGCGAGAAATGTTATTGGAAGATACCGGCGAAGCGCAATTAACAAGTTCAATCAACGAAGTGCGTCGATTGATCAATTGAAATTGAACGCCGTCGGGGGAAAAGGAGGAATGGAAAAAAAATATATGTGTTCGCCGCGCGGCCGCTAACGAATGCCAATTAGATTTTAAAGTGGAATTCACAGATGGTTAATCAAAAGCTCGACGAGCGAAAAACAAACGTGACTTCCGATCGGCGTCGAACCCCGAGGCTTAACATGACAGAGCCAGTAATTGAGTTTCAAAGTTTAATTCGGTGAGCGTTAATCAAAAGCTTCGAGCTGAATAACTTGACGAATAGGAATTAAACGCGGGAGTTCGGCTGATGGGGAGCTAATCAAAACCGTCGAGGGCCGGGAGGGACGGGTGGTGGCGCGGAGGGGCTTCTCGGCACGAAGAAACTGGAATTAAACGTGCACAATTGAAAATCAAAGTTTCACCGGTGTATACATTAAAACTACGCGGATATCTCGGTAACTTTCGAGCGCTAATGAACGTCTGCCGTAACTATCCGTTCGAATACGAAACTATGAACTTCCTAGAATGTTAAGTCCCTAATAAATTCAAAGTAGACTGTCTTAAGAAGATTAAGCGTTCGATCCGAAGCTGGTAACCCAACTTAAGCGGCCAGGCGGCTAATGAATTCTAACGAAGACGGATTATCGAAACAGTTACCAAATATCTCTCCGACACACAAACACACACACACACACACACTATTAACTCCAACACCTAGCACACATCTTCCTACAATTAATCCTTACACTACATAACAACCATAAACATACGATCGCCCTAAAACCCCTTCATTCCCAATAGATCACCGGCAAACCAGCTTCATCTCCAATTACCCCGAGTAAATCATAAAAGCGACGGTTTTAAATCAACCGAAAACCAAGCTGAAAAGACTCTAAAACGTTCCTCCAGCCGAACGCCGACCTCCGCAGTCCATTAACAACTCTCTACTCGGGCGAGCGGTTAAAAAACCGGCGCGAAGAGGTCGGTGGACTCGGATCCCGCGCGAAACGAAAGTAAATCCCGTGGAACGGCGGTATCAGAAGTCGGAAGATAGGATCGTTGAACCCACCTCGTCGATCAGTCCGCGTCCTCCTCCTCTCTCCTTCTCGTTCTCTCCTTTTTTCTCCTCGGCCTGGCCCCGCGATCGTTCCCCGGTCCTGATCCAATTAACCAACGGGTTAAGGTCGTTTCTCACGGTGGCCGAGGGAGCCGGGAGGAACGGCGTGTATCGTGGAAATCGGAGCTGGATCGATGGAACGCCGCGAAAGCGGATTCGGAGCACAGCACGGTCCAAGAGTAACTGAAGAAGGCCAACAAACGGGCGACCATCAGCTGGTTTCCC